ATTTTTTTTTATTTTTTATTAAAATGTTAAATGCAAACATCTTTTCTTAATTTTTAATAAATAATTTAGAATGAAAAATTTTTATGTGTTATTATGTTAAAAAATTTCACAATTTAATTTTTCATAATCAATTTAAAAATAAATCCTTTTTTTTTTATTTTTTGTTCATAATACAGTATTATTATTTTAAATTTATCTTGTTTTAAGGAAATAAAATTTTATATAATTATTTATCTTATTTTTTCCATTAATAATTTTATGATTTTTATTAAAATTAGATATTTTTAAAAAAATCACGTTGCTTCTATATTTAATGAAAAAATATAACGTAGTTTTTATTTATATTTAATAGAAATTAAGTTACTCTCTAAATTTTATGAAAGAGTAAGATAAATATTTATTTAAAATATCATTTTCTTTGGAACAAGATAAATTTAAAATAACAGTAATTTATTATGAATAATTTATAATGAATAAAAAATTATTAAAAAAATGTATTTTTAAATTGATTATGATAAATTAAATTGTAAAATTTTTTGGCAGGTAATAACTCATTAAAAAATTTTCATTCTAAATTATTTATTAAAAAATAAGAAAAAATATTTGTATTTAAGATTTTAATAAAAAAATAAAAAAATCTGATATACCACCTCTCCAGAACCACATGAAAAAAAAGATTTTTATTTCTTTCTCATACTTTATTTCTCTATTTTTAATTTCTTTCTCTCTCTAACTTTCTCTCCCCTAAAATCTTTTTTTTATATTTTATAACTTTGAGCAAGTTGCGGGGCGATTTTGTCTAGTTCTAAATTTAAATTTTTTTGGTGGTTAAATACTAATTAAAATTTTAATGATAATTATTTTAAAAATTTTTGGCTGGATTTCGCGCAAATCCGGCTGCTAAACAGCCCCTATAAGAATACAGGCTTTGCTATTATGCTTTACAGTTTGCAGAAGCTTTCAAAGGAAATTAAGAGAATGGATTCCACACATATACTTATCCTTCCCATGCCATTCCAAGGCCATATTATGCCTCTCATGGAGATGGCCTACCACCTCATCGATGCCGGCTTCACGGTCACCTTTGTCAACACCGACTTCAATCACCGCCGTCTTCTTTCCGCCGCCCCCGACGGCGGCGCTGCCTTCTCCAACACTAACAGCCGCCTCCGCCTCCTTGGAATCTCAGATGGGATGGGCTCGGACGAAGACCGAAAGGATGTGGGGCTATCTTGTAAACTCTTGCCTTCAGGGATGTCTCCAGGTCTTGAGTCCATCTTAAGAGCCGCCGCTGCAGAAGGCCGACCAATACAGTGGATTTTAGCTGACTTCAACATGGCCTGGGCGTTTGCTTTAGCCAACCAAATGGGCCTGCGCGCTGCCGCTTTCTGCCCCCCGTCAGCCGCCATGATAGCTATAGTGCTCAACGTTTCCAAAATGATTGAAATTGGGCTTCTCACTGAAGATGGTACAACAAAATCTTTTCTTTCATTATATCTATTTTAATTTAAAAGGGAAATTAAATCACCATCTATATTTCATCATGATTTAAGGATCACAGAATAAGGATGAGATGTTCCAGCTAGCCGACGGCATCCCGACGCTTCGCACGAGTCAGCTGGCATGGAACATGATCGGAAACTCGGCTGACAAATCAGCTGTGTTCTCCTTTGTTATGATTAACATTCGCGCTCTCACCGACCACGCCGAGTTCATCATCTGCAACACATTCATGGATCTTGAGCCTCAAGCCATATCTCTCCTTCCTTCCGCCATTCCCATCGGCCCCCTTTTTCCAGCCGACCACCACCCCATCGGCCACCTCTGGCCGCCAGCAAATTCATCCACCATTATGGACTGGCTTGACGCCCACTCGCCGGGCTCTGTACTCTACATCGCCTTCGGAAGCCATGCTATTTTTGATCAAGCACAAGTTGATGAGTTGGCCCATGGGATTGAAATGACAAAGCGACCTTTTTTATGGGCTGTGCGACCTGACCTTACAACTATGGATCCAAGCGAAGTTTTCTCAACGGAGTTCTTGAGGCGGGTACAAGGCAGGGGGCTTCTGGTCGCCTGGGCTCCTCAACTGCAAGTGTTGGGTCATCCTTCCATTGGGTGCTTTATGTCGCACTGCGGGTGGAATTCTACCATGGAAGGGATTAGGAACGGGATGCGATTTCTCTGTTGGCCTTACTTTACTGATCAGTTTTTGAATCAGAGTTATATTTGTGACATATGGAGGATAGGGCTGAGGGTGAGGCCGAATGAGGAGGATGTGGAAGGTGAATTGGGTAGGAGTGAGTTGGCTCTTATCACGAGGAAGATGATTAGAGAGAGGGTGGAAGAGGTGATGGAGGATGATGAGATGCGAAAAAGGGCATTGATGTGGAAAGAGAGGGCTCTTAAAAGTGTGAGTGTAGGTGGGAGCTCTTATGAGAATTTTAAGAAGGTAGTGGATATCATGAAAACTAGGACTTAAAATTAAGTATTATTATTATTATTCTTGTTAGAAGGATTTAGATATATATGTATTACTCAAAATCTTCTTATTTATATATTCATGATCTGAGCTTTATCATTTAGTTACATAATATTTAAAATCTTAATTAACAAATAAAAATAATATATATCACCATCAAAACTTCATGGCTTGGATCAGATATCATTGCAATTTCTTCGATGCCCACACCTCCACAACACCATACCATTTGTATGTATGTATACATGTAAAGTTTCATTATTATTTTTCTCTCATTAGCAATTTTGTTACTTATATTTGAGATGCAATATATCATTTTTATTTCATGTATCTTCAACTCAAGCCCAAATGATTAATTTATGAGAGAACATATATACATGGTGTGCCATCTTTCGATCCCTACAAAAGAGATGATCCTGTAAAAATAAATTAAATAGTTATGCAATTTCAATTTTCTAAGTTTAATTGTTTGTTGGGTTAACGTTTAAGCGTGCTAAGTGTCGCTTAAGCTTAAAATAGCTAAAAGGAATTGATCTTAATCATCTAAATGCGCATAAGCGCATGCCTACCCGAGCGAGATCAACCCTTTGGCTAAATGCATAACTTAGCAAAAAAAAAAAAAAAAAACAACCACCAAATGAATACTACTAAAAAATAATATGAAACAAGCATAGGATAGGTGGTTAGTTAATTTATTAATTAATAATAATAATTGATAATTAATAAGTCATTTAAATTAGTTAAAGGTTAGCCAAATTACTATTAGGTTCATTTATATTTAATATGGTAGTCATGATTGTTGCTAAAAAACTTGTAGAGATTGAATGTGTGTGTGTGTGAGAGAGAGAGAGAGAGAGAGAGAGAGAGAGAGAGATGAAGGTCCAACACACATACACATAAAAAGAAAACTGCAAGAGATATGAGAGTTTTTGCGTGCAAAATTCAAAAAGGGAAAAACAACATGGAGCCTAATCAAATTAAAATAACTCCACTAATGTATGTTGTGAATTGTAAATGATATCGTTATTCATAATTAGGGAATTTGCATATCAACAAGACTAATATAAATCTTGGTCTTGACATAGGGAATCAAGTTGGTGCTTGTGGTGTGCATTAGCCTTAAAGCCATGCTTACATTATTGTTATTGGCAATATCGAGCGATAGAGGTGGTAGGCTTCGGTGTAATCGGGTGGAATCTATTGGGTGAGATTAATAATTAGAAAATGCTATGGATCTTAGGTTTGATATTTAGAGAAGTTTTCTTGAGTTTAAACCAGAATGATGAAAGGTCTAGTACTGGGCCATATTAGCAGAAATGTCAAGATCACTTTAGGGCGTGAACTTTATACGAGATAAATGACTGTAAATAATGGTGAAATATTGGCTCAAAATGCGAACTTATGATTTGGAGTTGATGGCATAGTTAAGTTGAGATAAGATGAAGTTGAAATATATGGAATAAGACAAGGTCCAAGTCTTCGACAAAAATTGAGCTAATGTTTATATGAAAGTGTTTAGAAGGGTCTTATGAATTTGGTTATTAGTTTATTGGCCTTAGATGATGCTTATGAAGTGGAATAAGAGTTGTGAATAGTTTAAAACATGTGTTTAAGAAGATTTGTAAGCAACATAAAAAAAAAAATAACTACTAAATCTTACCAAAGAAATGACATGTATTTGAAGCCACCAAACACCAAGAAAATAAAGAGAACTTCCCCAAAAAAAATTATTTCATTCAAAAATTAAAAATTATAATGCATATAAGCTCATATTAATAAACATTACAATATTAAATTTTGGAAAAAAAAGGAGGATAAAAGGGAGGGGGTTAGTGGATATTAAAGAGGAGTTCCACCTATCCAAAATTTTAATGCATCATCTCTACCTATTCATTTTATGGCTCAATATACAACCTTCCAGATTAAAAATAAAACACTACATGAAAATCGTCAATTACCGGCGGCTTTCCGACGATCTTGTTTTTCAGAAGAATTTCCGGCGGCTTTCTAACGGTCTTGTTCCGGCGGATTTTTGACAGATTTCTGGCGAATTTCCGACGGCTTTCCGGTGGATTTCCGACTTCATAGTATTTTTTTCTTAATTAATGATTGAGCGGGCAGCTCAACTCAGGCTGGGTGGGTAGCACAGGCTGGTGAGCAGCTGGGCAGCCGGTCTTTTTTTTTTTTAATTAAATTTTAGATATTTTCCGGTGGCCTTTTTCCGTCGAAAAACCGCCGGAAAAATTTGCCGCCATAAAATACCGCCGGAAATATTTTTCCCATGCGTGTTTTACCGGCGGAAAATTTGCCGCTGGAAAGCCGCCAAAAATTTACAAAATTGACCATTTTATGCCGGAAAATGCCGCCGGTAATAATTGATTTTCCTGTAGTGAAATATTTAAAAAATTATGGGCTTGTTATTGAACTCGTGTAATTTGACATTTTCTTTAATCATTTCCCTAGGCTTTGGTGTTAGCTTTTAGCTTGATCATCTTCATCCATATGATGTGTTATATCACCTAGGTTAGTGAGCATGGTCCAGAGATAATGATGTAGAGATGATGGTCATGAGATCATAAACATGTAATGTTGGTAAGGAGATCATAGTCGTGTGATGGTGGTTGGGAGATTATTGTCATGAAGATGGTTGTATGGTTAAAAGATGTTGATTTAGAGATGGTGGCCGGGTGATAGTGTTTGGGAGATGGTGGGTGATTTTAATCAATCAACTTTAGTCAGGAGATTATAATTGAAAGATGATGGTCATGAGACTATGGTTCATCATCGTCAATTGGGAGACTGAGGTTGGGATACAACAATCGAACTGTAGTGGTTAGGAGATATTAGTGGGGTAATGGCGGTTGAGAGATTGTAGGTGAGGGATATTGGTTGAGAGATAGTGGTAGTCGTTGGTGATTGAGATATCTTGGTTAAGCGAAAGTGGTCAGAAGATCGTAGTTGGGTGATGATGGTCGGAAAATGATACTTATGCATAGGAGTGTTAATAAATGACCTGACATGCCAACCCAACTTGAACCCAACCCAAAAAATAAAGGTTCAGGTTGACCCGTTTTGACACACCTAATTAAGTAGCGATGCTGATCGGATAGCGGTGGTCTAATGGTGATGATTAGTGATTCTTAATTCTAATATGCATGAGATTTGTATTTGATTAAGTGGATTTTAGAGTGATAAATCATTGATAAACAAAAGTTATCTGATAATCACATATAATTAGAAATCAATAAATGTTTATTTTTATTAATTAAGGATCACTTCGTTTTTTTTTTTTCTGATAATTAAGCGTATATTGCTATTAAGTATTGATAATTAGCCATGCAATAATTAGTTAATCACTTAATTATTCATAATGCAACTATAGTTATGATTGATAAGTATTTAAAATAACATAATTGATTTCGAAGAATTGACGGAGGGTTAGGGTTTTCTCGTCTCTTGCGCCGCCCCCTGTCGCTGAACTCTTTTCTACTTCTTCCTCCTCCGGCTAGGCCGGAGGATTCCGATCTCCTTTGTCAATATGGCAGATCTTCCATCTGCAACTGATTTTCCTCCTCTCGGATCTTCATCTGGAGGATCGCAGCATGTTCTGCCGAGAAACTGGAATCAGGTATTTGCTCCTGATGCTTAAGTATTTAAAATAACATAATTGTAGTACACTTAACGGGATTTAAGGAAAATTTAATAGCTAACGTTTAAATTCAACTAAAAACTTTTACCAACATATTTGTAATTACATTATTTTGTGTTTATAAACAACCAAATAACATAATCTTGCTTATTCGACTTAGTTTAATTTAAGCCCTTACAAACAAACCTAAGTTACACAATAATATTTATTTAATGCTCAAATTAAAATGAAAATATCATTGATTAATTAAAAAACAAATGAAGGAGGATTCTATTTGTAAAAAGGCTTTTTAAGAATTTTAACATAAAATTTTGTGTTTTTCTTTTGAGCTTAATTCATATGAGTGTGTGCAGGCTTTTTTGCAACATTAAGATAAAAAACTCTCATCCTACCGTTGTAAAATTTTAAGCTTGCAACAAGATAAAAATATATATTTTAATTAACTATTAGTATATTAAATCACCCTAATTAATCAGTTAATTATTGATTTGTGGCATTTATTTTTAAAATTTTATCATAAAACTACTAAAACTAATCAGGGATTAGGACATTAAATTATCATAGTTACTTAACATTTTTGGATATGGATTAATTAGGATAATAATATAAATATGAAGTATTACACAATGAAAATTTCTACTTATTGTTGTAATAAAATTGAAATATTCAAAAATTTTATTATTGATCAAAATGATTTTTTAGGGATTAATTATTAGATTAATAAAATATTTTGAATAATTATACAATCATTTATTGATAAATTATTTATTTTCCCTTTCAAATATTATATGTTATAGCCCAAAACACTCATAATCGACCGCAGGACCGCACGTGTGCACTCATAGCACGGCCTGCCTAGGAGAGTTTCTGAACGCAGATCGTTTGTGTTATGGGCTTCCACTCCATGAAGGCCTAAATGAAAAGGGCCACTTTGATGTAAGGCCCAAAGTTTTTTGTACTTTATGTAATTTCTGGAGAATCGATGGGCATTTTTAGGACGACTTATATATTTTGATGGGTCCTCTGTTTTCTACGAGAAAACCCTAGCTCTGCGAGTAACTGCTACATTGCAGGCGGCAAGGACGGCAATGGAGGGGGTTAAGGCAGGAAGGACCGTGAAGGATGTGTCACCGCACGAGTTTGTCAAGGCATACGCTGCCCATCTTAAGAGATCCGGCAAGGTTTGATCCGTTTTATTTTCTTATTTAAGTATTCTCCTTCTTGTTGTCCGATTTCTTCTAACAAATAGATGTTTCTTTTCGATTGCCTGTTTCTTCTTTGGAGGTACGAAGATGTGTAATATGAAACCTTTGTTTGCTCACTTTTGTTCTTCATCAGAGAATATATTGCTTGGCTTTGTGCTATGAATGATTTCATAAAACTTGTTCGAATTTATTTAGAAATTCAGGGAATATATTTTTTCTAGAACAAAATTGCTTTATTTGTATTCGGAAAATGGCTTCTATTGTTTTCCATGCAGCTTTATGTAATAAGTTGTTTATAGTCTGCTTTGTATCGCAAACTGTGATTCACTTAAATGCAGACGGATGGATTATTTATTATTGGTGAAATCAATTAACATTTTAGGCAAGTATTGTTGGGTTGTTTGTTAAATTTGAAGGCATGCCTTTATTTGAATACTTTTTCATTGGCAGATCTGTTCTACTTTTCTTTGACGATAGTCCTTGTAGAAATTCATTTCTATAGCTTACCGAGGTAAGCAGTTGTAGCTTTGCAGTAAGAAAGTTGAGAGTAGAAAGCAACTTAACAGTGAAAAGAGTAAATACAGGGAAAAGCTTAACTTAGGCAAACCGTTGTGATTCAACTTTCCATTTGTATTTCCCATTGTATTACAGCTTACTGTAACTATAAGGTGAAGGTTGTGTGCTTGAGTGTGTGGTCAGATAGAGTGGTTATGCTTGACACATGGATAATGTGGATTGAGTTGTTACCAGCTGATGGTACTGATTTTATTTCTTTGAAGGTGATTGCTCTACTTGAGCTGCAACAGAAGGTGCCGTTATTACCCCTTCGCAAATTGATGGGTCTTCATGGACTCTCAATTTGAGGTGAAGTTGCTGCAACTGATGTGTTAGAAGAGATTTAGTGAGAATGTCAGCGAGTTGATCGTGGGAGTTGATTGGGACCACATGAATGATTTTAGAATTGATGTGATCACTAATAAAGTGATAGCCTTTTTCGATATGCTTTGTATGAGCATGAAACACAGGGTTGTTGGCTAGGGCTATAGCAGAGACGTCGTAGTGGAGGTTGATAGATTGAAAAATGAATATGCGGAAGTCATTAAGTAGGCGTCAAAGCCAAATAATGTTAGTGGTGGCAAGGGACTTGAAATTTAATTTCAAATTGACACACACCATATAGGAAAGCTTGATTTTTTTAGGTCTTTGTTGAGAGTCTCGATTTTTATTTTGAATCTTTTGATTTAACACAAGCAGTGTTCCTTGCACTAGCCATCTTGTGGCCTACATGTGTGCAATGCTCATTGCGTATTTAAAACTAGCTTACATTTTTTTTAGGTCGGAAATTTGAATCATAAATCTCCATTGCTGAGCAAAGGCATAGGGTTTCTTTAGGGCAAATTTTTTTTATTTTTTTACTATTTTGCTTTTGGGGTTGTTATAAAACTATTTTTTGGCTATTGCTTTCTTGTTTTTTTTTTTTGAATTTTTTGTGATGAGAAGCAACTTCTTACAACTATATTGATTAGAGTATGGTATTTATATGAAATGATCATTGAGTAATGTCATATCGACTTAAATTATATATTATATATAGATACATTAAGTTTTTACTAATTATACGGCCTCTGTCTTTTAAAAATTATAGACACTTAAATTATATTGAATGATAATTGTTCTTATCTTTCACTTCTTGTGGCGGATGACTTGTCAATTAGAATTATATAATATGCAAAAGGTTTACACCAAAGGAACTTCACTTGAAGGCCATTTGTAAGATCTCTATACCCCTTACAAGAAGATATGGACTCAAGTCACTCAACGTAGGTCTTTTGATGTAAGCTTATGGTAAGTAATAACTATTGGGTCAATCTATGACTATTTTTTATTCTAGCCAATTTTTCATTGCACACACTTTTAATAATGGGAGCATGTTTTTGATACACATCTTTTTTTGCCCAAAAAATACACCAAATCAATTTTCATGGTACTTGATCATTTCTTTCTCAAGATCAGTAGTTCTTCTTTGTTATTTGTATTTGTCAATTCATTGTCTTGACTTAAAAAATCATTTTAGAATGAAACCTATTTGGCTCTTTCAAATTTATGTAAAATTTCTAACCCGATCTTCAACTTTTTGTTTCCATAGATGCATTGCATGACTCATAAGTTTAATTACTTTATATTTGGCCTCTTTTTGAACTAGTTTTGGTTCCTAAATATTAGTGTCAAAATACTTATTCTCTAATAATTAGACGTATTCGAAATTCTATTAAAAGGATTTTGTCATCAAAATTACTATATATCCTTCATTGCTATTCAAATCTTAATATATCCATCATCTAAATCTAAAGACTTATTTTATGCATCATTTTCAAAGTTAACTCATATTTACTTCTCATGAATCTACAATACGCTTCATTATATTTTTCGTTTTGTTTTCAAAAAATAATTTCTTAAAATTTTCATTCTGTGTTTTGTCAAAGGAAATTATTCATCTTTAATTAACACCTTATTACCTTCATATGCATTTAATTTGATTGAAATTCAACCTCTCTTATTGCTTACTTTTATTATTATATATATTTTATCTTCTCTTTCCTTAGTACCGAGCCTAAATAAATTATTTGAAGTTTTAGTTTTGGCTTTAGTCATTATTATTTTGCAGGATTTTTAGTGTTTTATAATCAATATAAACATCGATAGTATTTGTTGCAAATCTGGATTCAAAGATTATAATTTTGATGATAGCAAATATTTATGGCATTTTTGTTTTTCTACTATTGCCCTGCCTATTATCGTTTCAGGTTGAATGTAAGATGCAAACAAACTCTTGCTCGTCATAGGAGAGGCCGTAGTCAAGTTCCGGATCGGCCATGCATTTGCTTTGTTGTATGTGGTGGTATCGACGACTTCCTTGAAAGCACCTAGATCTCTTGAGAGAAAAAGGATTCTCACAAGAAGTAAGAGATAAGGAGAGGAGAGGGTTCGGCCAAAGAGGGGAGCCACACGTGGGTTAGGATTAGGTTGGAGGAGATATTTAAATTCAAAATTATGAAATAAATTTTAGATTTTGAAATTAAGAGGAAAGAAATTAGGAGGGGAATTTAATTCCCCTAAATTGGGGAGGGGAATTAATGAGATAGAGAGGGGTGGTTAGGCTAGGGGGGCCGACAGTGTGGTGAGAGAGGGAGCGGTTTAGGGAATGAATTAGTGGGTTGCCTAATCAAGGGAGTCTTAAATTAGGCAAGAGATTAAATCAAATTCAAATAGAATTTGATTTGGAATTGTTTATGGAAACTTTCCTAAAATAGATTGGTTCAAATTAGGAGAGAATTTGAATTTCAAATTTAATTGATTTGAATTTCAAATTGATCCTAAATTAACTCCAACTTAATTAGGAAACACAAGGAATAGGGGAAATTGAGTGGGGCCGGCGGCTAGGAGAGCTAGGCCGGCAGCTTTATGGGGATGGGGGGAAAATTAAGGAGGCTTTAATGCTTCCTTAATTTAGGTGATCAGATTTAGAATGAAATAATTCATTCCAAATTAATTTAAAATCCGATGGGGGAAGATTTGGAAATTTTTCTAAAATAGATTTTATAATTTAGGAGAGGTTTTGAATTTCAAATTGGGTGAATTTGAATTCAAAATTTTGTCTAAATTATGGCAATCAAAATTAGGAAGTAAATCCAAGAGTGGGCAAGGGGCTAGGGCCGACGGCTTGGATGGGGGGTTCGGGTAAGGGAGCCGGCGGCGAGGTGGAGGGGGTTTGGAGAATTCGGTGGAGATGAAGTTTGGACAAGGTGAGGGGAAGATGGTACAACCGCTAGTGGTAGAGGGAGGAAGAGAGAAAGAGATATAACGTAGAACCACGAACCCGACTCGTCCAGGTTGGTGGGTATTGCGCAAGTCTCCCTCTCCTAGGGATTTCACTCTAAATTCTCATGAGAAATCAAACAAGAGAAACAAAAGTTTTCAATTAATTATTCATTAACTTGAAAAGAAGAACAATGGGGCTATAAATAGCCTCGTACAAAGACTCACAAAATAAATGATGACAATGCCCCTAGGGCTTTCATACGACCTCCCTTAATAAAAGGGTACAACGGGAAACTAATAAAGCAAATACAATATGACATCATAAATAAGAAAATACATAAACAACTCAGAAATACAATGACTCAATGGTGACTGTAAATCAACGGCCATGTCTTTGATAGACTCTCCACAATCTGATGTCCCCATCAATAAGCCTATCCATACAAGCATATAAACCAATTTTAATTTCTTTATCAACTCAAAAATCTTTATCATAATAAAATTAAGGGTTTAAATAATATGCAAATAACATACAAGCGTTGGTGTAATTGGTGATCCACTTTTCATCTATAATTTTTAAATTTCTTTGTAGGCACATTATTAATGACTTGGTCACCCAAAGTCATAATCCCCCCGCCCCCCACATCAAAACTATTATTACTAAAATTACACTCCATATATTCAGTTTTAGATCTACTCAAATAAAAGTCTTTAGACTCTAAAGTTGATCTCCATAATTAAAGTTTACCTTCAACTCCCTCTCTATTCTTATCAACAAGAAGAATATTATCAGCAAAAAACATACACTAAGGTACAACCTCTTGCAAATGTATAGTGAGAACATCTATGACTAAAACAAAAAGATATGGACTTAAGGCTGAACCTTCATGTAATCCAACTGAAATAGAAAAATACTTGATCAAACCACCTTGTATATGAACACAAGTTACAACTCCAACATACATATCCTTAATGACTAGAATATAAAATTTTTTAACCCTTTTCTTTTTTTGAACTCTCCATAGCAATTATGTTGGAACTTTATCATATGCTTTCTCTAAATCAATAAAAATATCATATGTAGATCCTCCTTATTCTCTCTATACTTCTCCATCAAACCTCTCAATAAATGTATAGCTTCCATAGTTGTCCTATCTGGCATGAATCCAATTGATTTTGAGAAATATTAGTATCACTCCGTAGCCTTTGTTCCATAACTCTCTCACTTAGTTTTAAAGTATGACACATTAACTTAATTCCTATATAATTCACAAAATCTTGTGCATCACCTTTATTCTTAAAAATAGGAATCAAACACTCATTCTCTGCTCATCTGGCATCTTTTTAGTCTTCAAAATAATATTAAAAAATTTAGTAAGCCAAGAAATTTCTTCATCTGCTAATCATTTCCACACTATATTGGAATATCATCAGGTCTGACAGATTTTTCACACTTTATTTTTTTAAGCCTCTCTAACTTTGATTTTTATTAATACGCCGATAAAAATAAAAATCTTTATTTTCATTTAGGTTGCTAAGGTCACTAAAGTCAATCCCATTCTCATAATTTTTCATTGAAGAGTTTATAAAAATATCTCAGTCATCTTTGTTGAATATCTTCTTCTAATAAAAATAATTTTTTATCTTCATCCTTAATGTACTTCACTTGAATTAAATCATTACTCTTATGTTTATATTTGGCTAGTTTATACATATATCTTTCGCCCTCCTTAGTATCTAATATATTATATAAATTATTAAAAATTAAAATTTTTGTATGACATATTACTTTCTTAGACTCCTTACGGGCCTTTTTATATCTTTTTCAATTATAAAAATTTTTACTTCTATACCAATTTTTATAACAAATGTTCTTTTTTTTTTATCTTTTCTTGCATATTTTGATTTCACCACTAACTATTTTTACTATTATGAGCTTTTTCTTTTGATACTCCAAGTACATCTTTTGCAACATTTTTAATATCACTAATTACTTTTTTTCATATACATTAGCTTTCTCACGAATTGATAAAATCTTAAGATCTAGTATCTTACTCTCTTTTTTGTTAATATTCTTTAAAAGCCTCAATTTAATTCTAGAATAATATTTTACTTTATTTTTTTATTTTTTGTCCCTTCATCTTAAAGTTGTAGATATCTTGGGTTTATTTTTCAGAGTGATGATGAAATAGACGACGATATTATTAGTAGAATTCAAGTTCGATGGTTAAAGTTAAGGAATGCATTGGGCTTGTGTGCTAGAAAAGTCCCCCTTAAACTTAAGAGAAAATTCTATAAGATGGTGGTTAGACCTGTAATGTTTCATGGTGCAGAATGTTGGCTATTAAAAGAGAAGCATAATATTAAGTTTAAGTGTTGCAGAGATTAGGGGTGTCAATACTGGACACGACCCGGAAATCTGACTCGAACCTGACATAAAAATTTCGGTTTCGGATCAACTCGAACTCGAATCGGGTTGGTTTGGGGTTAGAGATTTCAACCCGTTTGCAAAAAACGGGTCGGGTTCAGGTTGACCCGGAAACCCGAAATCAACTCGGTTTGACCTGGACTGACCGTTTCCCTCTCTTTGTCAGTCTAGTTACGTTAGTCGCATGAAGAGATGTCGTGTCAAGCATCGCGTCTGCCAGCCATTCGCGTCAGCCATCACGTCCGCTCCATCGCGTCAGCCGTCGCGTCTGCCAGCCATTGCCGGTTCGATCTCTTACTCACAAGCTACGTCGTTTTCACGCTCGTAGCCTTGTAGGGTCGTCGATCTGGGTTCGCCGTCCGCCATCCGCCATCATCGCCTTACCACTCCCACGCATCGCGACACATGTCCGTCATTGCTACGTCGCCCTGGTCAAACTATCCCGCTGTTTGTTTGCCAGCCGGTCAACGGTCAGAAGTAGCGACTTGTGACAGGTGGTTGCTATCTTTGCACGCTTCTTCAACCAAATCCCGTATATTCGTGTCAGGTCGGGTTGACCAAACTCGAAACGGGTCGGGTTTGGATCCCAATAACTGACCTGTTTGCTAAAACAGGTCGGGTTCGGGTTGACCTGAATAGTGTCGGGTTAGTTCCGAGTTCGACCCTAACCCTACACGTGACCCAAATTTGATACCCCTAGCAGATATGGGCTGCTCAGCTGGATGAGTGACTTTACTCTTTAGACACAAGATACGAAATGAGCATATACATGTAAAGGTTGTAGTAGCTCCAGTGGAAGATAAGATTATAGTGAGTCGTCTTTGATGGTTTGATCACATAAAACGGCGGCTTTCTAATGACCCGTATAGGAAAGTAGATGTATTAGATTTTACTTATGTTAAGAAAGGTAGAGGTAGACTTAAAAAGACTTGATTAGAAAATTATTGGAAATGATATTTTTTATTAGATTTAAATGAGAATTTAACTTTTAACATGACATAATGGAAAAAAAAAAGATTGATGTAGTCGACCCCAAATAGTGGGATGAAGGCTTGATGTTGTTGTTGTTATTGTTTGTAGGCACCTTCTTGACCTCGCAAATCTCTTGCTATCTATTCTTTAGTCTTATTTATAGCTTCATAAATAAATATATTGCTTGGGCTTACTCACCATCTACCATTCTTAGCAGCTTAACTAAACGTCCTATAATTTTTAGAGCATAATTTATACTACGCTTGAAAGAATCATCTTTCACTTATTTACCTTCTATTTTTAAAACTGTATTTATGCATATATTTTACTTAGGAAAATCATTAAATGCATATCATTAAGAACTCATATATCTAATTTCAAGCTATTTTAAAAACTCATGTATGTCTATCATCATTAAGAACTCGTCTATTTCAAGCTAATGAAATATGAATACATATATCTATTTCAAACAAATATCACTAACTAAATTATCTTTATATGTAATCTTAACACGTAATTATAATGAATGAAGTTGAAGTAACATGAAGAAAGATCGTTACCTTCATTGCAGTAGGCGGAACCGAAGTATACGAAGGAAGCAGGCGAAGTTGAAATAGTGGTCGAACTGGTAGAAAGATCGTTACCTTTGTTGTGAGCTCTAATTTCACATGAAGATGATGAATTCGAACCAGTGGTCGAACAAGAAGAAAGGGCATCTGTGAGTGCTCTTGTCAAAGAACTCCACTTAACATGAAGCAGACAAAGTCGAAGTAGTGCTTGAAAGGGAAGAAAATCATCACCTTCATTAAACAAGTGAAGCTGAAGTACACGAAGGAAGCAAGCGAAGCCAACACAGTGGTCAAATGGGTAGAAAGATTGCTACCTTCGTTGCGAGCTTTGACTACACACGAAGCAGACGAACTCGAACCAATGGTTGAACGGGAAGAAAGGTCATCTTTGAGCGCTCTTGTCATATCGAAGAACTCCACTTAACATGTAGCAGGCGAAGCCGAAGCAATGCTCGAAAGAGAAGAAATTTGTTACCTTCGCTGCGAGCTCTGTCGAATTTGGCGGGATTGTTGTTGTCGATGGCAACGAGACTCTCTTTTGAAACTCTACTCTCACGAAACAAGTGAAACCGACATAGTCCTAAAACCTTATAATCAGGTTTTGTGTATTAAAAAAAAACCTAAAAATGAGTCGGCGCCTCAAGCTGCCTCGAGGCGTACTCCTTGCATGAAAAAAACACGCACCTCACCCAATTCATCGAGGCACAAGCCTTGGAGAGCATGTATTGCGCCTCGAATTGAGGTGTGCCTCGACACGTATGCCTCCTTTTAAAATGATGGTTAGGTCATTGTACATTGGTTCTTGGGAATGTCCTACCATTAGTAAAATTCTAATTAGAATTCATCTCATTAGATTTGACATGAGTTTTGTTACTAGTTATCAACTTAATATCAAGCTTGAATCATTCTTTTCCTGCCTAGCACAGGGATGATGATAATTCAAATTTTAAATGCCACAAAATAATAATAATAATGTTAATAGTAATATCAGCCATAATAATAAATAATTTTCAACCATATGAGCTCTATGTATTATATTGGATGTAAGATAAAATGGTTGGAGAGAGTCCTAGAACTGCAGTGGCTTTTTCAAACCGATATGCTTTCCTTTTTTAAATGGAGCCTTGCTCTCTTTTATAATAATTAAAAACTCTTTCTAAAAAGTAGAGAATGTCTATTTTTAAATGAAAGTCCTAAATTTCATGGCTTTCCGAATACAGACTCTTTTTTGGAATTTCTCCATAGTTGTGGGCGCATGAGTTTCTCTTTGGACTTATAACTAGTAGTATGCCTTCTCGTTTGTATTATACATCTTGTTGTTTGTTGTCTCGAATCTCTTATTATACAATGACGATAGTTGCTTGCTTTTCCCCTGTAGTAAAAATGGTATGTTTTGTTTTATAATGCAAAGAACTCTACATACGTTCAATTTGCTTGATGCATATTGCTATATGGCTTTATACCTAATCTTGCCCATCAATTATAATCAACAGATTGAACTTCCTCACTGGACTGATATTGTTAAGACTGGAAGGTTCAAAGAACTTGCTCCATATGACCCTGATTGGTACTACATAAGAGCTGGTAATCTATTTTATTTATTTTACATTTCACTGGTAAAGGTTGATACCTATTTAACATAGATGGTGCTCCTCATTCTCACTTAATTGCAGCTTCCATGGCAAGAAAGATCTATCTGAGACAAGGTATTGGCGTGGGTGGTTTTCAGAAGATCTATGGTGGTCGCAAAAGGAATGGTAGCAGGCCTCCACATTTCTGTAAGAGCAGTGGCGCAATTGCTCGCCACATTCTCCAGCAACTGCAGAAGATAAATATCGTTGAAAGCAATGAGAAGGGGTGAGTGACTAATTCCTCTTCTCTCGTGTGACAGAATTTACCAGGAACGATTGGCACTTAAGTTTTTACCTACTAAATGTTCAATTTCCCTCTTTTCTGGTGGTAGGGGAAGGAGAATCACTTCTCAGGGTTGTCGTGATCTTGATCAGGTTGCTGGGCGTGTGGTGGTCATTTCATGAATGACTTGAGAGAATATTGCTCTCAATCATCGATCAGATCTTTTAAGCTTCTTGTTTTTTGCTAACATTTTTTCATGTAATGTTTCTGAACACATGCTTTTGAAGCTCGGTGTTATTTGAGTTATTCTCTTCTCCTGCTTTATCTTGTATGCAAGGGACTTAGAACTTTATTCAACCTTATATTGGCCTTAAAATTTGATCCATGACCATTGGATGAGGTACCCAAATTATTATAGTTTTTCTCTATTACAAAAAGCTTAAATTGCCTTGCATTAGCAACACCATCAATATCACCTTGAGTAAATTTTGTTTCAAGAAGATAAAGAAGGTCAATGTGGTGATCCCTGATTAGTGATTAGTTTCCTGCATTAAATGATACATATATCACCACTTAGTCTCCTAACATTTCAAGTAATGATGTTGGGGAAGACATTAATTGTTGAGAGATGGAGGGGCACTCTTCTTTTGTCTTATATTCTTGCTTTTTGGAGCAATCTTGTAAGCCAATCATAAGTGAATCATTCTCAATTATATCAATCTTATTTTCAGGAATAAATCATATCACAAGTCATTTAGGTCAAGTGATTTTTGTATCAGATGTAGTGACTTCCTACCCTTCTTCATATTATATCATATCACTCTATATCCTTATATCTCTCATTTTATATTTTTTAAGATTATACAATAAATTTTATTTTAAAGAAAAAGTCCATCAGCCCATCCTCTGCACATAATAACAATTATGTATAGACAACCTTTCTTATATGCAAACATTTCATAGCATATATAGCTTAGTAAACTAGTGATATTATGCCCAATATTCAGCCCAATATATGATATTAATGCATGTAAAATTTGCGTATGAATTAAAACTAGTGAAATTAAAAAAAAAATGCAGTGTGCTCTTTTTCACATACATATTACCACAGTAGATAAATTATAACCATTATGCAAGTCATATGTTCTATAAATAGAATTTTATAATTATTTATCCAATTTTCCTATTTACCTAATTTTTTTTGGGAGAAACCAAAAAATTTCAAAATAGGAAATTTCTCCCAAAATATGAAAATACCTAATAAAAATTCAATATATTTCTATCAATATGTGCAAAATGATTAAAACTACAACATATTAATAGTTACATAGATAAATTTTGTTAAAAATAAAAATATTGCAACTTTTGTAGGTTTTGACTAAAAAATAAAATTCATAAAACACAAAATACTTAAAATCATTGAAATCAAAAGCAGAGAAATAGTAGTCTACCTCAAGACGAGTAAATTTCTCAATTGGACTGACAACAAAAAATGGCTCTACGATCGCCAAATTATAACTTATTTTTTTCTCACTTTTCTTTTTCTAATTAATTCAAATTTTCATCCTTAGTTAAATACGAATGAAGATGGGAATGACACTTATAAAGTTATGTGAAGTGGAAAAGGATGTTTATAATAAAATAATATAAATTGTATAAATATAATTATGCAATTTGTTCAATTTTTAGTCAAAAATTCTTATAAATTATTTTATATCTTTAACCAAAATTATGAACAAATATTAATAAAATAACCCAGTATATTTAGAGTACTCTGGTGAAATTGGTTTATAAAGTGGATACCTAACGATCTTAAAAACCCATTTGTAATGACATGTTAATTTCTTAAGGAATTATAATTAAATAATAAACTTTATATGTATATACTATCCATAAAATTAGGAGAAAATTATTATAATAATAATAAAATCTATATTATGACAAAAATGATTTGCACATTTTGAATATTTTATGAAAATTTTATAATGGGGGTTTTATAATTTTTGAGGTTTTTATTGAATAAAAAATTATTTGGACTCTAAAAAATAGGACTGTAGTACGATAAAAGTATTAAAATATTATTTTACACAATCCCTAGTAATTTGATTATTTTTTAAAAATGTGTATTTTTTCAAAGTAGGATTTTCTTGTCTATTATTATGAAAACTATATAATTTGACATATGCTTAATTACTCTTTAGCTGATATAGCATAATCGATGATATATGTGCATATATGATTAAATCATATATGTAGGAAGCAATAAGTGGCTAGAATCTTATGAGATTTTATCTATGTCAGGAAATATTTTGTTGCCTATAAGACATATTCTGATGCCTATAAATCATATCCTCGTGCCTATGAGTATGTTCTAGTGCTATATGCATAAAAGAGAGTCATAATGGGTCAGAATCCTTTGAGATTATGTCTGGGTCTAAGAGATGTGATATGAATTGCTATATGATATGAATTATAATTTATTTATCTGCTCAATATTATTATTTAAATAATTGGATAATTGCTATGAACTTACTTTATTTCTTAGTATAGTGATTTATTAGACTATATTTAGCTACTTTTAATATTCAACAAAATTTAATAAAAGAATTAAAAAATTTAGATTTAGTTGGTGTGGCTTATTAAGCTGTTATAACTACTGTGATTTTGGTTTTGATTTTTGGGATCTAGGAAGGAGAAAGTGACTATTAATTAGCAATTTAAGGTATCAGAGTTTATAGGTATTTTTCTTTTGATTTTTGTATAGTCATGATTTATTATTCAATTAAGTTCTATAGCTTCTACATGTAGTCATGTATTGTAGTGTAGATATATTTTAATGAAATAAAATAAATCTTATGGATGAGTTTATTTTCAGTCTGTAGTTTATTTAAAATGAACATTAAAAGATAATATGAATATTTTAAAACTAGATTTTAAGATTTGTCTGTCACGGCTCAATACGATAGGACATGTCCAAGCCGACTTAGATTGTGATAGTTGCTCTGCTCCAATCTCTTAAAATTTTCCGGGTCGGGTTTTCGTGTCGTGTCAAATATTGACACCCCTACATCTGATATTGAGCTGATGGAGATACATGCCAATCTCTAAAGATAATTAATTTAAAGAGTATACATATAATTATGCCATTTGTTTGATCTTTAGCTTAAAATTTTTATGAATTCTTTTATATTTTGAAATTCAGTGATCCAAAAGTTATAAAGAAATATTCATAAAATAGCCTAGCATATTTAGAATACTTCAGAGAAATTGATTTGCAAAATGGACACCAAACGATCCTAGAAACCTGCTCGTACCAACATGTCAATTTCTTAAGGGATTACATTTAAATAAGGAGCTTCTTGTTCTTATATCTACACTACCCAAAAAATTAGAAAAAAAATATAATTAAAGCACAATAATATCTATATTATGACAAAAATTACATACAAATTAGACTTATAATGAACCCTGAAATATTATTTGACTGAGTTAAAATATTGACTATTACAGAATACTAGATATGTAGTATTTCAAAAGTGTTTGTCAGGCGATTATGATTAGATGATAATGACAGGATGAAGTAGTTGAGCGATGATGGTCTGATGATATTAGCCATATGTTGGCGGTTGGATAACGATTAATGGATTATGATGATTACTCGATGGTGGCCAAACATCGAAACTCAAGTCTAAGTTATATTTTTATAAATTTATATTTTGATAACTCTCTATCAATCGAATCATATTGAATTATTTGATCATAGATCATTCATTTAATATTTAAGTATCATAATAACCTCATAGTCAGTGATTTTGGGCATATTGCATTCATTTAACAGAGTGGCTTAATTTCATTCTTTGATCAATGCTATAAAATATTAAAGTTTACTTCAATTGTTTGATTTGGGCTTATTTAGATTTATATAAGATCATATAATTTTTTTATTAGATTTGTCTTGTAAAGGCACTCAATCTGACCATAAGGTTGCTTAAATTAGAGTTTAAAAAATCCTACCTTCAATTTAAAAAAAAAAAAATAATAATAAACATATAGCATCAAGGTTTGTGTCTATTAAGTGAAATTTATTGAGATCTATATAAAAGATAAATTAAATAACCATAAAATGAACACGCACAAGAAATCAGCTATTAAATTAATGAATATGTTCTTATTACATTATAAACCTAGAAATTAAAATTAATTCATGATATAATTATAAAGCAAGACATATGGATCATGAGCTTCAGTAACAAAAAAAAAAAAAGAGAGATAAATAGACTATAACATTGAAGACTACTGCCAAGCCATTGTTTGCTTTGTCAAAATTCTAAAAAAGAGCTCTTCATATTCTCTTAAGGATAACGCTTGATAATGCAGTATGTTATTGTTTTATGTCATATTTTGAGTGTGCCTTAAGTATCTCTTGCTTAGTACTTGGAATCATCTTTGATCTTATTTTCTCCATTATTCAACACTTTTCATCTAAAAAAGACCTCTTCATATTTCATTTATATGTAGTCATGATGAGAGCTGATGACTAGCTAGTGTCAATCATTAATTTAGGGTGTCGGAAATTGTCGATCCGACACAAGTCACATACTCGATCCATATAACCGGCCAAATAACTATAAAATAGGCTGGGCGTTAGCTCATCAAGGCTATGAGAAACAAAACAACTTTTGACTATAAAATTTTTTGGAAAAAAAAAAAAAAACTACCCTTGGTGTAACATCAAATGTGGCTGATGAGTTATTAATAGGGTTAGCACGTTTAGAGTGTATTTAATTAAGAGAAGATGCTTCTCATTTTATTTCGGCATTATTATTATTTTTGTATGAAGCTATCCTTATAGGCCAGCTATTTTATTTTTATTTTTTTAGTTGGAAGTCAAAATTTGTTGACTGACTCCCCTTCACAAAAATAAAAAAAAAAAGTATCTAAGTGCACTGTATTTATTCCAACGTTTTGAAAACCGGACCGGACAACGGACCGGAAGAAGGAGAGGTTCATGGTTTGACCGGTTCGACCGGTTGAACCGGGGTCGAACCGGATGACATATTAAATAATAATATTATTAAAAATTATGAAATGCTGACAACACAAGTGAATTAATGGTTAACTGTAACTTATTCAGTTTATCTTTAAACTTTATAATGTTCTCCTGTTACATAATATCACTTAGATACTTCTTCATGTTAACTATATATTCTTGACTTTACAAATTAAATTCTCATATGTATTCTTATTCTTCTTTTAAATATCAAGATACTCAAACATTATATCTAGGATTTAACTTATTTTCTAACAAAATCAACTCATAATTCTCAAAAATAGTAAAATACTCATTTCAAAATTACTTTCTGAGAATTAAAGCAAACATTAAAAAATGGAATTTTTCAAAATAAAAAT